CTTCCTGCTTTCCCTTTCGCCTCTCTACATATGCAAATTAACTGCCATCTTTGTTGTCAGTTAACTGCCATCTGAGTTGGCAATTAATTTGCATATAGCCCTGATTAGCCAATGAAAAGGGTAGCGTCGTACGCCAATTACCATTTTTCTCTTTTATTAGTGTAGATGAGACCATGGATTAGTCCAAATGAACTGATTTTCAAGTCAGAGGTTCCCTTTTCTTTATTAGTGTCATCTGACTAATAAAGAAATATAGGCTACCTATATATTTACCACTATTTCATGTCAAAAACCATTTTTAACAGTCATTTTTAAAATAATTTTAAAATTGTCAAAAATTTCTCAGCTAAGCTGAGAAAATAGTGAATGATATTAGTGAAAAATATTAGTGAATCTTCTTGTGAATAATAACCCTAAATCCAAATCTCAGGACCCCTGTTCTCATTCTAGAAACAGCATGGTCTCATGGAGAAATGTCCTAGACTAGGGTTTAAAAATGTGCATGTGGGAAGCACAAAAAATAATGGAAACCAAATAAAGTGAGGAAGGATAATCATAGAGAGGCTTTCAGTAGAACAAGATACTAAATTTGGGGGACAAATAAAGTGAAGGAAACACCTACACATAGTTGGGTGCATGATGATTTATACATTAGCTCTCTAATCAGTCCTAAACAAGACCATTTGACAATGAAAGCATCCTTAATTGTGCAAATTAATGTTCACAATGAAAATGTCATCTCAAAAAAGTCAAAATTACAGGTAATTCATAAAACTAGTCCCCCCAAAAAATAATTAATTGAAGATTGCTCTTGGCAAACTTTCCATTTGAGTTATAATGCGCATACATGCTAGTATAGAATAAGATAATGTATATATGGATATAATCTCTTTCTTGGATCACTTTTGCATTTGTATAGAATACTCTAATTAGCATATATATACTGTAACATGTTCTAAAATAAGACACAAGACTAATATATTAAATAAATTCATGGATAAACTCATTGGTGGCCAACAATCATTTTCTCCCTTATTTATACAGCAGACAGAAAACAACAACAACAAAAAAACACACACAACAACTGTACTCCTTTCTAGAGAATTAGAAAAGAGGAACAAAACAAGATTTCTGCTCTCCTGGAATTTATTTGGTATTTATTTTCTAGAACCCAGCTCTTTTTCCCCCTCTCTCTTTTTATGTGCAGAACCTCACTTTACATCCCAAATAAAGTGAACCCTCTCTAATACTGCTCCAGTCTTGTTTCTGTCCTTTCTCTCATTATCTCCTGAAGTGACTTATGTATCATTCCTTCATATACCCAGCACTTCGCAACTTTCATCCTGGTTCACTGCTCATCACCAATAATAAAAACCTAACCTGAAGTGGAAAATCAGAAAAAAATGCCACCATCTTTTTAACCTCACCCTACTTTATCTCAAAATATATGGCTTATTTCTTCTGAATTTCCAGATACCTTTTCATTTGCTCATTATACTTATTACAGTCTTGGAGTATTTTCCCTTTTACTTCTTAGTATAACAGTTATTTTGACCAGCATTTGTTTTGAATCTGCTATGTGCAGAGACTCTAAACAAATCATTAGAAATATAAGATGGGTCACTTTTCATTTTCAAGTGAGCAAAAAGAATATGTGTCCTTTTTTGACATTTAGTTTCAGCTTATAGAACAGCATATTTAGAACCAACGTTTCTTCCTAATGTCTTTTGTGCTGTCAGTAAGAACCTCACCAACAGTGCACAGATGTTGGTGAATGAACTTCTGGTCATAGGAAACACTACAGGTCATAATTATTGACCCCTCCTATCATACTCTGTACTGTGATGGATTTGGGAAAGGATGAAATTTGGCCATAGCTTTAGATGACCATGTGACCTTAAATAAATATGTGATGTCAAGAAGGAACACTGGACAGTAATTTTAACCAGGGGCCTGAGGTAGCAAGCTTCACTTTATCGGCCTTAGCATGCAAGGCTGCTGCTAATAGTGCCTATGTTCCTTCTAACTTCCTGTATATGTTTATTTTACAAGAACCAAATGATAAGTAATTTAAGTGGGTTGCATTTTGCCCCTTGGGTTCATCGTTGTATTTAGAACAGTTGAATCAGCATATAATTAAATTTCAAGTAGGAAAAAGGGTTATTGAATCACTATGTACTTTTCAGAGCTTAGTACTTTGATTCTCTCTAATATGTACATTAGTAAAATCATTAATAAAGTCTTATTAAGATTAAGCAGATGAATATTTCTTAAGTATGATAATTACTGTCTATAACTTTCATATCAGGAAAGAAAAATTTACATTAACATATTTTTCCCTCAGATTCAGCCCTATTAACATTTTGAGCTGGATGATTCTTTGTTGCGTGTGCATGGTGGGAGGGTGGGAGTTCTCTCGTCCATAGTAGGGTGTTTAGCAGCGTGCCTGCAGGGCCTCTGCCCCTCAGTCATCGTGCTAGAAATATCTATGTAGGTATTTCCAAATGACCTGCGAAGGGGGAAATCACCCACAGCTGAGAACTTCCACCTTAAAATATAATTGAATACCTGTACTAAAGTTGTAATTGTGTAATGGGCAAGTGAACATGCTTTTCTTATTTCATACCAGATTTGATCACCTCAAGGGTCTATTTTTATAAACATCTGGGGTTGTTTATAAAACAACCTAAAGCAAGAGTTTATATATGAAGAAGTGATTAGGTTTGTACTGAATTCAGAATAAGGTAAGATTTCTTGCTTGTCTAACTGCATGTACTTCTGAGTTTTTTGGGGATCTGGCTTGATTTACTGAAACTACAAATGCTTCTGCTAGTGGAGGTCTACTTTTAAAATACTTCAAAAATTCTTGTTCAAAACCTGCAGTAACAGGTACTGATTCACAAGACTTTCAGCATTTTTCACATAGCTATTGAAAAAGTTATGGTAATGCCCATAAATTCATGGTCGGAAACTTTACATTCTTAATGGATCAACTAAAAAAGAGATAACACTTTATATCTGTGGTTCTCTACTATACAAGTATAGCTTCGTATTTAGATTATCTAAGTTCTAGTTTAAAAAAGTTGTGATAGGGTTTTTAAAAAGGTTTAGTGAAATGGAAAAGGGAAATGTCATCTACAAAGAAGTCAGCTGTGTGCTTTTGTTATGACAGTCTTTGGTTCAATAGCCGACCTCTTACCAGTGCATCCAGGTACACATTTGTCCATTGGACTTGCTTAGCTTTGTCTCCTGCTAAAACCATTGGTCTTCCCAGAACATCCAAATATTCCTATTCATTAAAAAAAAAAAGTAAAATAGTTGAAAATTAAAAATGCTGTGTTAAAAAATCCATCTCCACAGAAGAAAAATTATCTAGAGTTAAAAATGAATATGGAGTCAAAATTATTAAGACAGTAAGCATGTAATCATTCAATTCCTACTTTGGGCACTCCTTAAATGGCATAACTACATACTCTGAATCAACATTATTTGACTTACATTATTTATAAAATATATCTACCCTAGTTTTTCCTAGTAACGATCAAAACATTATCTTTCTGTGGCAAAGCCAATGATAAGTGAAATATGTTCCTTGTGAATTGTTTTATGTTAATCTAAACTATTTTAGGCTCTGTGATTTACTGGATGGAACTGCACAAATTTGAAATAATAAAGCAGCCACGTATTTGCTTTCATATCATAGATTGTTTGGCTGAAATTCAAAACTACATTTAAACATATAAAAAAAATAAATGAAATACTGTGCCAAATCTAGACATCAGACTCAAATGCAGCTGCTGTTTCATTTCAACGTTCAATGTATTCAGAATTCATTTCCACAAATTTCACATTATTTAAGCTAAATTTGACTTAGTCTATTTTACAGATCCTCAGTTATATTCAAAATTGAGCTATGGCTTCAAACAGTAATTTATGAATACTTAAAAATAAAACAATTAAATTAACTTAATTGTTTCAATGTATAAAGTTACTGACCAGGCATGTTTTTCTTCTTCTATGTATTTTATTTATTTACTTATTTTTCTTTGTTAAGGTACTACATATGTGTCCTTATCACCCAATTGCCCCCCCAAAACCCCCACTCATGCCCTCACTTCCCTGTTGTCTCATTGGTTAGACTTATATGCATGCATAAAAGTCCTTTGGTTGATCTCTCCTCCTTAAATGGTTGTAGAAAAACCATCTCCTTGATGTAAGTTTATTTTAAACAGGTAAATATATCTACAAGGGTTATTTGGGGATGTAAATTCTTAGTAAGAACTTATATAATTTGTCCAAAATAATTACAGTTTCATTTTCTATGTGATACCGACAACTGGGAAAAAAAAAACCCTCATTTAAATTATTTGCAAGAGAATCAAGTTCAAATTACATGAGATGAGACTATTAGTCACTTTGATTGTATTTGTTTTGTACGATGTTTTTCACATCTGAGAAGAACAATATACTTATATATTTTATGTTTGAGTTTTAGAACCCTCGGAACCTTAATGAAATACAAAGTAATACATTGCTGCCCTGGCTGGTGTACTCAGTTGGTTGGAGCCACATCACAGTGCTTCAAAGGGTCATGGACTTGATTCCCAGTCAAGGCATATACCCAGGTTTCGGGTTCTATCTCTGGTCAGGAGGCAAGCAATATATGTTCTCTCTCTCTCTCCCTCTCCCTTCCTCTGTCTCTAAAATCAATAAAAACATATCGTTGGGTGAGGAATAAAAAACAACAATACATTCCCATAATACTCATCATGTTGTTACAAATGTAATATTATGCATAAACGTAAACTTATTACGTAAAATATTTTCATTTTCACCTATTTTCTGCATATTGAGCACATATAATTCAGAAAATACCTTATACTTTGAAAACAATAATTTAATAAAGGTTTGAAAAAACTGTACCTGAGTATTGATTCTTATCGCCCCAATGGAAGGAATTTCATAATAATAACCTGAAACATATGTACACGTATTTATGAAAATATATTTTAGAAGTGTTCATGCAATTATTTATGGCTTCGTAAGAAAAACATTTTTTCACCTTAATTGTGCAAACAGTAAAATATTACCACCACCAATAAATTTGAAAATTATTGATTATTGTATATTCATTACAGATACATAGTTTATTAGAAATGTTGCTACATTATCTCATATTGTACAAAATAACTTATTTTTCCACAAAACAGTAGTGAACCTGATAACATTAAACATGTTTTCTATGGGGGAAATTATTGACAACGAATGATCATGGGTATCTGATAATCATATTTATATAAAATTTGTGGCTAAATATAACTTTAAGAATAAATTTAGGTTCTTTCTATTCCTATGTGATCACTGTTTACCTTTCAAATAACATCTTATATTTTTTCTGAGTACAGAGGCAATATGGACTTACTACACAAAATATAAATTATTTAGAAATGTGTAAAATAACATTTTTAAAACAACAATAATTTAACCAGACAAAAATGTACATATGTCGCACTTTCTTATGTCCAAGTTTTATATAATTTAGGTATTCTTACATTGTTAGTTTTTCACATTAAGGTTATATTTAATAAGCATCATTAAGTATCATTTAATATATCCTTTTATGAATGTACAATATCGCCAGTGTCTGAATTTTTATATAATGTAACAAAAAGTCTGTTGTGTTGTTTTTCCACAGAAAACATTGTCAGCATCTTATTCTAGCCTTGAGTCCTATAAAATTAGCTACAACTTTAGATTATTTTAAATAGTAATATGTAGAACTACAACTACCAAGTTATTTTTTTTCTAATAAAACGTGGTGATGAAAATGGATATTACCTTTATTTTCACAGGCCATCCACTGAATAGGTCCTCTGTCATAATTATGTTGACCAACAGAAAATGTGAATACACGTACCTGGTGAATAAAAATTTAGGTATCTGTTAGGCTGCATATCCTTTAATTAAACTGCACAACAATATAGCTAAAGTAAAAAAAAAATAAATAAATAAAAGCATGTTTTTCATAGTTGATTAATGGGACAAGAAAAATTGAGACCAGAAAAACATTATGGAAGGCACCAGACAGAAAAAAAATATCACCACAGACTTCAGTTATGACATTTAAAGGTGCCCTGCACCATATCCTGATCCTATGGCAAGATCATAACTAAGGTTTTATTAGTAGAAACAGCATCTTTCAGGTCCAATCTAGGTTCACCTGTTTTACGAGCGCTGCTCAGCCAGAAGCTGGGCTCATGGCTGGCGAGTGCAGTGGCGGTGGTGGGAGCCTCTCCCGCCTCCGTGGCAGTGCTTAGGATGTCTGACTGCTGGGTTAGGCCTGCTCCCCATGGACATCCCCCCAAGGACCCCCAGAATGCGAATGGGCACAGGTGGGCTGAGGGACACCCCCGCCACACACACACACACACACACACACACACACACACACACACTGAGTGCACAAATGTTGTGCACTGGGCCTCTAGTGTATACATAAAGGACATCGTTATACTTTTAGTTGCTTAAGGCAATTAAATTTAGTGATGTTTTTACTACTTTCACACTATGGAAATATTTAGAATGCATAGGTATGATTATACTAGTTATATTACTTATTTTCTATAAAAGATGGTCGGTGTATATAAATATTTTAAGCTCCTATGATTTTTAAAGAGAATCAAAATAGACAGTTTCTAACATGTTATAAAATATGCAAATCTTTAAAACTTAATTGAGATGGCTGTTAAATTATAGTAGTTTAAATATTTATTGAGAGGCATTGAATTTAAATAATACTATAAAAGTGTAGATAGAGGACAAATTTAATGATGCTAACCAGTATTTAACGCAATGGCTATTTAACATGGGTTGATTTTTACCAATTTTGTAATCTAAACCAATATTCTAAGTTCCACATTTCAGCTTTTTCTAAAGATAAACATGCAGAAAATTACTTTTCCATGATTTTCATGTTCTGGTTTGAACTATGTTAAGAGCTTTTCCCTAATTCATGTCGATTGACTGTTTGAATTGACATTTTCTAATTGTTTCATCTGTTTCATCTTTTCCACATGATTGCAGAACTCAAATCTCAAAAGAGATTTCACATCTGTTCTCTGTCCTCTCACTTGTCTCGGCCACACAGAAACCACATTATAACAAGCCCTGCCCGAAAAGGTACATCGGGGATGTTGCTGTTTCACTTGTAAAGTTGTGTGTGAGCCACCCTTGAGTCGTCCAGGTTTGCCTTAGCTAGTTATGTACCGAGCCCTTTGGTGGACACAGCTGAGTTTTAATCACCTCAAGTTGCAAGAACAAATGACTGGTTCTAGGTTAACAAAAGTGAGTGACTAATGACACTTTTTCCTCTCTCAAAATACAAGATTCATTTTCTTAAATTCTTCACTTGGATCCCTTTTTAGGCTGCCTATATATTTCCATGGAGTGTTACTGCTTATATAGTTGAACTTACTCCTAAATGGAAATACTTTTGCATAAGCAGGTTGACCACCCTACTGATGACTCGATTTAAATGCTAGCCCCTACACAACTGTCACATGAATTCAGGGCAGGGAACAAACCCAGATGCTCCAGAGAGCACTCGGGGATTGTCTTTATAATTAACATGTGAAAGCATGTCTCCACTTTTCAACTTAAAGCATTGCTTTCTCTCATTGTTCCTGTTCCCACAACAGTATTCTAGGAAAAAAATTTTCCCTGAAACACTTTGCATTAAAAGGAAATATATGAATACCACTAATATGTCCCTTCCAAGCAAGCATTTCTAATAACATGGAGACATAGATGCTACACTTAGACATACCATGTCATTATTTTGAGTGATGTTTTTCATCAAATAGTCCAAATAAACACAAATCAGCCAAAAACATAAGGGTTTTTTTAAAAAAAGCTTGTAAGTCATAGTTAAATTTTCATAAAATTTTAAAGGACATTCATTTCCACCACCACCCCATCTGTCTTTGTTCATTTTTCACATAGGTCCTTGGCTATTAGACTATAACATGAACTGATTGAATCCTTCCCATATAACAAATGTATATGCTTTAATTGTCAACATTTTTAAAAAGATGTTATCTTTATAAAGCATTATATTTTTTATTTTTCAATTATAGTTTATTTACTGTAAATACTTTAATATGTTTTTTATTTATTTTAAAGAGAGGGAGAGAGCTAGAAACATCCACAAGAGAGACACATCAATCTGCTACCTCATGCACGCCCCCTACTGGGGATTTAGCCCGCAACCTGGGCATGTGCCCTGACCTGGAATTGAACCAGTAACCTCTTGGTTCATGGGAAGATGCTCAATCCACTGAGCCACACCATCAGGACTACTGTCAACATTTTAAAAGGTATTTTTCTTTCTGAAATTTTCCGAACTCCATGCGGGTAATAAAATCTCAAGAATTTTAAATGTAACCTTTTTATAATTTCTGCAACTACCTTACCATTATAATATTTACAAAATCTTTCTACTATATCTAAGATTCTTATTTTTCTCTTGATGGATATATACACACACATATACATACATATACACCAATCAGATGCATGTATATATTTAATGATTTCAGATTATCTTAGAATTTTCAGAAATAATTTAAAAAATATATATTTGGTTCAGAAAAAGTATACTTAAGTTTGGTTAAGAAAAAGTATACTTTAAGAATTACCTAAAATTTTAAATTCCTTATATGACAATGAAAAAAAAATCAATAAAATTATTTCACTCGCAGATGCCATAACTATATCTAATTTAGCTTTGTTTTATACATAATAGGTAATTATGAAAGAATTTTAACTTCATAAACATGTGAAATACACGTTATAGTGCATGTACATGATGAATTAATGAAATTTAAAAGATGATTTTTTTGCACACTGACTTTCCACTTGGACTTGAGATGGTATTCGTCCTATTCTATATAATATTACTGCCACCCTGTGGAATAATGAACTAACTCTAAAACTCCAGATACTCAGATCCACAGAGATGATTGCTATGCCCTGCTCTCATGTTTTCCACTTCTTTAAATTTATACTTCAGATTTAGCTATAATTTTAGGTAAAGGAAAAATAAAGCGATTCCTTGGAATATGCACAATTTAAAAATCAAGTAAACTACATTCCCAATTATGTATATTTTTAGAGCTCTTTTCTTATTAGTGCATTTGGATGGTCTTAAATAAAATGACACACAAAATAACTCAAAATCCTTAATGTGTACTCACACAAGCTATGTATTTTATCTAAAGCCTCAAACAAATTAATTTAAACCAACTCTATATCAAGACAAAGTCAATTTTTGTAAAAAAAATTACTTATGCTGCATGGTACATTTATAATCACAATATTAGATTCATGTAACAAATGCAAACTAAAAACTTTTCTAAATAATATAGAAAATTTGATAAATGTTCCTCAACTAATTTGTGTGATTTTCAACAGGTTCATGTTTTGAAATATTCACTTCTATGAGGTACATATATGAGACATATACAATCATAGGTTGCTTTGAAAAATATTTTGATAATGCTGGTGCCCAGATCTTTAACAGAAATAATATGGGAAAGTAGTGTTAAATAAACATTGGATTAGGTTAAAACAGTTCCAAGGTTACACTATTTTATCTATTGTATCTATTTTAGTGTCTTATAAATAAATGGAAATAAATATTTGTTAAATGAACAAAAGGCCCATACTCAAATGAGTGGTCTCACCTTCTCACCAGAGGGATCTAAGACATATGCCATGCTATCTGACATGTAAAGCAATTAATTTTAACAGAGCAGAGCCGAAACAGGGCTCATAGCTGTCTTGCATTTTGTAATCTGGGCAGTTTCATTATATCATGGTAAATTCTTAACCTTTTTTTTATGTTATTTAGACTTGCTCAATGGAGTTAAACTTTTGCAGGCAAAATAAAATATACTTAATTCACGTACCACTTATGTACTGCATTAATTCCTAAAGAATAAAAACAAATTCTCATAACCCTTGACTCATGTTTAGTTGTATAAGCATAAGCCTATGCATAGACTCAATAGTAATTTAAGAGTGTATTTAATAAAATTAAACTAAAAACAAACATCAGTCCTTACTAGCCTCAAACTCTCATAATTGGTCTTTAGTTGTTTCAAAAACCAAATTTTCTCTGAATAGAGAAATTATAATTCCAATAATATAAAGCTGATACATCAAGTCTGCCTTATTTGATCAGAGAAAACTTTTAATTAACAAATTTTGTTATTTGAAATACATTACTGATTTGTTTCTTATAATATGCAAATGATTTATAACTTTATCCTATACTGGACTTCTGCTAATCTCTTTATTTTGTTTTGTTTGTTGAAGAATAAAATGCTTGTCGTCAATTAAGATTTTTCCAAAGCCAGAGGGTCAAACTATTTTAAAAAATCATAGGAATTTCTCGTTTCCCAGCAGAACACAGTTACTGGAAACTGTCACCTCGACAATTATCAGTTACCCAGAGTTCAAGTTTAATTTGCATTAGGCAAATCTCCAAGGAATAATGGAAATGAGACTATGAAGAAAGAAAGCCAATAAAACTAAAATAAAAACTTCAGCTATCGAAACATATTAGAGAAATGATGTCAGAAATGCGTTTTATTAATTTACTATGTGTACTAAAACTTTTGGCTTTACGCCTATAAAAATAGGAGATTAGACTGAGTATTTTAGAAGAAAATTCTGCAGTGGTTTCCAGAACTCACAAAGATCCCAGAATCCAGAGCATTTGAATAACCCACATCTCTAGTTTTATAGTATTATAAAGTAAATAAAAGTGTCCAAATACCCCTTTCACACTTTATTTTATAAAGCCCAATGATCTGAAAGGTACTTGCAGCCTGCCAAATTTTGACAGCTGAGTTT